TATTACATTTTTTAGAAAAGGAATCTGGTATTGCATGCATCAGACAAAATGCAAAAAATCAAAAAATTAAAAAAACATGAGTAAGGTCGTCGACTATACCATAATATTAATACTGCAAAAGTAGTATTATAGTACGGTAATTTTCCCATCATTCTTACGTGAATGAAATGGGTGAACGTGTATGCACATTAAAGCGTCTTTTTTATTGTGAATGAAATGGATAAGCTTAAATCATGTAATATTGAAACTCATGGCTTCTTATCAGATGAAAGCCCTTCCCCATCATTTATCATTATCATAGCCTTTTCCCAATTAATTAGGATTAGCTACACGAATATTGGTATGTCATTTTGCTCTGTTTAAGGCCATACCCTCAATGAAGCCATAAATCCCCATATCTTTTCGGACAACTTCCAACCATGTCCTTTTGGACATACCTCTTGCCTTTTTCAACTCTTCCACTTGAACTAACTCGCACCTCCTAACAGGTGTTGTATTGGGTCGATGCCACACATGGCCAACCCACCTAAGTCTGCTCTCTCTCATCTTCTCGCTTATTGGTGTCAAACATAAACTTTCCCGAATGGATTCATTTCAGATTCTATCCCTACTTGTCTTTCCACTCATCCATCTCATCTCTATTAGACTCATTTTATAGGTATATTCCGCCCAACATTCCACCCCATAAAGCAAAGTTTGTCTCACAGTTGTCCTATAGAACCTACCCTTCAATTTCATTGGTATGCGGTGATCACATAAAATTCTAGTTGCACATCTCCACTTCTCCCACTCAGCTCTAATTCTATGTATGACATCTTCTTCAATCTCTCTATTTTCCAGGATTATCATCCCAAGGAATCGAATATACGATTTTTGTTTTGTACTTCCTGGATGTCAATCTTAACTACTTCATCATCTCTACTCCTATTATTACTAAAATTACGTTCCATATATTTTGTCTTAGTCCGATTAATTTTAAAACTTTTGGATTTTGGAGCATCTGTCTAAAGTTCTAACTTTGTGTTGATGACATTTCGGTCTCATCAATCAAAACTATGTCATCAACGAACATCCACCATGGTACCTCCTCCTACAAGTGCCTAGTTGAGTCATCCATAACTAAGATAAAGATGTATCGGCTCAATATTGACCTTGGTATAGACCTATTGTCATTGAAAACTCACTCATCTCCACTAGTTGTTTGTACGCTAGTTAGCGCTCCACCATACATATTTCTCACCAAGTAGATGTAGTGTCTAAAGACTAATTTCTTATCCAACACCCTCCAAATCAAATCTTGAGATACTCTATCATAAGTATTCTCTAGGTTAATAAAGACCATGTGGAAGTCTTTTCCTTTCGCCCTAAACTGCTCAATCAGTTGCCTAAGTAGGAAAATAGCCTTGGTTGTTGACCATCCTAGCATAAAACCAAATTGATTTTCGGATACACTCGTTTTATGCCTTAATCGTTGCTCAATTACTCTCTCCTTTATAGTATGACTCATAAACTTGATCCGTTGATAGTTCGTATAACTATGCCTCATTTGTTTTTGTAAATAGTTACGACAATACTTTTCCTCCATTCGTCTGGTTTTTTCTTTGTTCTCAACACCTTGTTGAACAACTTTGTCAACCAGTCAATGCCAATCTCCCCCATACACTTTTAAACCTTTATTAGGATATCATCTGGTCCTAAAGCCTTTTCTACATTCATCTTTTTCAAAGCTTCTTGGCATCCTAATCCTATGAATGTATTTATGACATCCGCCCTTATTTATACCAACAGTTCTTTTAATCGCCAAGTTCCCATTGTGTTTGTCATTTAATAATTTTTAAAATAAACTCTCTACCTTTTGTTGACCTCGTCATCCTTCACCAAAACCCTTTGATCTTCATTTTTAATGTATTTAATATGGTTTAAATCTCTACACTTTTTCTCTTTTATTTTTGCTTATTTGAAGTCATCTTTTTCACTTTCTCTTGTTCCTAGTTTATTGTATAAACTATCATATGTCTTAAAGTTTCACTTTACTTACTGTTTTTTTAGCATTTTTATATTCTTCTAAATTTTGATCGTTTCTATTACACTGCCAAGTTTTAAAATATGATTGTTTTTCACTAATGGCCTTCTGGACTTCATCACTCCACCAACAAGTTTTCTTATCGGAATTTCTTTTTTTTCTATATTCTCTTGAAATTTCTTTTACCACTTTCTTGATGCCGTCAGTCATCTCATTCCATATTACATTGACATCATGTTCAAAGTTTCATTTTCTTTCTTCAACTAATTTATTTTTAAATAAATCTATTTTTTCATTTTCTAAATCCCACCACCTAGTTCTTGGACACCCATTACTTCCACCCCTTCTCTTTCATGTCTTTATGCAGGTGTCCATAACCACGAGCCTATGTTGGGTAGCAAACTCTCTCTTGGGATAACCTTACAGCCTTTACATGCTGGTCGATCTACCTTCTTAACTAAGAAGAAATCTATTTGGCTTTTATGTACTTCACTTTTATTGGTTATTAAATGTTCATTTCACTTTTTAAAGTAAGTATTTGCTATTGCTAGGTCGTAGGCCATAGCAAAATCTATAATAGTCCTTCCCCAAACCCATACCCCCATGTACACCTTCATATCCTCTGTTGTCCTTCCCTAACTGGTCATTTAAGTCACCTCCTAAAAGGGTTATCTCTCCATTTGGTATGTCTTGGACTATTCCATTTATTTTCTCCCAAAATTGTCTCTTAATAGGAACCTATCACCTACTTTTTTGTTATTAACTACTTTAACTTTTAGATCTTTGTCTACTATTATGCCTACGTCATTTTTGTTGTTATCCTTTCATGTTTACCGAAGTTTACAGTCATCTATTTCTTTAGTTTTTTCTCCTTTCCATTTAGTTTCATGTGGATAGATTATATTTACTCTCTTTCGTCTCATTGTATCCACTAACTCCATATTCTTACATGTAAGTATTCCTATATTCCACGTGGCTTGATGAATTACTCTCTTGGACTAGATTCTTTACCCACGCCCGCCTAAGATGTCGTGGGAATCCTTGCTTACTTTTTATCGCAATCAGGCGGCACTGCGGCTCGTTGCTTCTTGGGAATACCCTAACTACCCCCTTGTTCACTTCTCACTATACCCAGGTTCCAGTACAGCTTCTAGGGAGCGCTCTGGCACAAACAGATACTGTAGTTTCAGGATTCATGATGAGTTTTGACAGAATTTTATGTTGGTTGTCTACTTAACACAACCCAACCCCTTTACGCAGGCATGGGACGGGTTAACGGAAAGACTTTCATCTAGTCCTTAATTTGATTTGAACATTCAATGTCATAACTGCTCTTTTAGTTGGACCAACCGAAGGGTGAAATAGGAATAAAAATTCCAAAAAGAGAGACTTGATAAAAAAACATATTAAAAAAAAGTTTTAGACTACTTTTAAATTTTAAAAATTAAATGGAACAAAGAAAATTGACTGAAGAGTTGAAGGACTACCCCTTCCTTTCAAAGGAAGAGCTCTTAGTAGTGGATCTTGTTGGAAATAGTGGCATTTCAAGCCGTTTTATTCAAGATCTCCAATTATTATGGGCATAAACATATTTAGTTAATAGTATCATAGTATTGACATGAAAAGACCATTTTATTCAAGATATCCAATTATTATGGGCATAAACATATTTAGTTAATAATGTCATGGTATTGACATGGAAAGAGTCACATAGATATAAATATTAGTAGGTCTTTAGTGGCCTAATTAATCGTAATGGGAGTTTTAACAGCTAAGTGACAACTTATCCAAACTCTCAATGCCCTTTAAGGTGCATAAAGATAGGACTGGCAATTTGGATCTGAACTCTTATAGGCCATTAATTATTATAGTTAATTCTATGAGGTAGGGACTCTATAAAATAGAGAATTTCTTAAGGAATCTAATGGAAAAAAAAAATGAATGGAGATGGTTTGCTCACATTGTATACCCATCACATGGGGTTTGGCCTACAGGATTTGGATTAGCACCCTATACTCCTTGTGTAGTTTGGGGACAGATCCAAGTATCGGTAATCCTATCCATGAATTCTTGTTTTTTTTTATTTTATTTTTTTTTGGTTTTTGCAGGAACCAACGGTTTTGTTAACGTTACACTGAACCATTAATTCAAGAGACGTATAGATATGGGGTATAAGAGCTAAAAAACTTTTTTTTTCATTTAATTATAAGAGGCTTCCAGCACATTACATGGAAGTTGCAAGGCACAGTGAAAACGCTTATGGATTCAAATCCATGATGAAAAGGCAATAGAAAGCAAGAGAACACCTCAAGGGACACCTATTTATTGTCATTCTTTGATTTCTTGATTTAGGATGATTTACAAGGGATAATAGGGCTGGCAATGGGCCGGCGGCCTGGTCATGAAAAAATAAGGCTTCAGCCACAATATGCAACCTGGGAGCAGGGCCTCGGCCTAGGCCAAGGGCCTAACAGGGCCGGCCCAACGAAGCACAACCTAGTCGCTTTTTCCCTTTTTTTCTCTTTTCTTTGAGTATATTAGACCTGGCTCGGCCTGGCTCAGGGCCTCTTTAGACCTAGTCAAGCTGGTCCGGGTCGGGCTCGCCTAGTGACGCTTAGAGAGAAGGGCTGGGCTAAAACCAGAAATGGCCAGGCCTGTTGCCAGCCCCTAGGATAATATTTTCAAATACTGCAATTAGCAGAGTGGTTGCCCATGTGGGGGTGTGAGGACAGAGGGCCAAGGGGGAAAGGGAGTGTGGGGTGGGGGGGGAGTGTGAGAGAGAGAGATTAGTTTATCCCTAAGTTGGAGATGATGAGCAGCACGACCTTCCAAATCAGACTTACTCCCATCCTAACTTTACCCGCATACATCATCCCCATCACAACCATGTCTAAGGCATGTCTGGTTCTCCAAATCTCCTGAAACTGCTCATTAATCCTTAAAGATGCTCACCTACCCCCTTCACTTTCTCATGGTGATGACTGTAACAGCTCTCAACATGAATGCCCTACATTTAGGAGGTCAACAAGAAATTGGATTTTACAGGGAGAGTTGCCCCAGAGCAGAGGAGGCCATGTCTGAAGCAATGAGGATGGCCATCAATAGAGACCCCACCCTTGCAGCCGCTCTCTTGAGAATCCATTACCACGACCGTTTCATTGGAGTAAGCTAAAGGGTTGTTGAACGCCTAGGGGGACAAAATTTCTATTAACCCAAGAGAACAGCACTCTTGAATTCAACTAATAGCTTCCGTGCAGTGCAGGGTTGATGCTTCAATACCGTTGGACCAACCACCTGGCTATCCTCCTATGGAGAAGGTGACTCTTCCCAATCAGAACCTCCGAGGCTTTGAAATGATGGACATGCTGAAGAGGATTCTTGAGAGCATCTGCCCTGGCACCGTCTCTTGTGCCGACATTCTTGCCCTTTCTACAAAAGAAGCTGTCACTTGTATGCATGCCACCACCACAAAATTCACTCTCCCCACCTCTCATTTGCTAGATCCACTTTTCCCACCTGCATTTCTCCTAGGTATTTGCCTGTATGTGCATCTCCAGCGCATGTAATAAATTACACATTTGCAGACTTTTAAAGCATGGATCTGGATTGTCTCAATGCCAAAGTAGCCTAATTGGATCAATTATGACCAAAGAATACCAACAAATAACTGTTTACTGCAAAAAATACAACCTTTACAAAAGAAAATAGTTGTGCGCAAAAAAACTACTGTTAACAAAATTACAGCTTATCATATCACAAGCTATGCAATTATTGACGATTCTAAAGTGCTTTGAATAGCTTACATAATTTTCTTGAATATCAATGATCCATGTTTTATCCACATATCCAGTGTTTCAAAAAACGCTAGGCGGGACCTAGGCGGCCTAGGGGATCCAGGCCGCCCAACGCCTAAATGAGCGCCTAGGAGGGCGCCCAAAACTTGGGCGGCCTAATTGAAATAAAAAAGGACTCTATACTCTCTAATAGTACATATACTGTATAAAATATAACAATCAAGTATTTAGGGCACATCAAAATTCATAAGTATACTACACATTAGCACACCCTCCATAAGCATAACCATAAGTCGGTCCATATCCAATTTAAACTTAAAATTTACCAACCAAATTGACCAAATACCAAACCAGTGGAACTATAAATCCATTATCCCCAATATACAACCAAGAGGAAGAAAACAAAAGTGACTAATACTTTAAGATTCAAAAGAATCTTCATTTGAATCTTCAATCAATGTTCAAAGTTTAATCATCAATTCATCACCAAAAAAAGTAGGGTCGGCTGCATTTGCATCATATGCATCAGAGTTGTCACCCTCCTCGACATATTGGTCGTCCTCCTTCGGCTCTTCTGAATCTGCCTCTTCATCCTCCAGGAGGGTCAACTGATGTCCCTGAAGCATCCATGACCATGTCCCATGTCAATCCTTCATACCCCTTGACCTCATCATCATCAACCAACCACTCCATACCATTGTCCATATTTTTTTATCTGAAGGGGTCTCTCTTATCTCTCTTAACAAACATGTCCTTCAATAATCGATTATACTTGACATAGACTAAGTCATTGAGCCTCTTTGATTCAAAACATGTTCATTTTCTTTGTATGAATCTAACAAAATCAAATGAAACTAATTAACATAAATATTAAATAATTAAAATTATTAAATATATAATAGTAATACTACAAAACAATCAAAACTAATAACTACTAAAGTATTAAATTACTACAATCAAAACTAATAACTACTAAAGTACTAAATTACTAATACAAATATACATATTATCCTTACCCCTTCAAAAGTACCCCAATTGCGCTCACAACTGAATGAGGAAGTAGATAGGTTTAAGATCCGAATGCCCAACTTTTGTAAATTTGTTGAACTACACCCATGTTGGCTCCACCAATTGGCTGCAGAGATATAAAATAAAATCATAAATAAATAATCGAATTATAAAAATGAAACTTGATTACTTGAACCTGATGAACTTAATAATATTATTACTACGTGGATCAATTTTGGCCCTTTGCCGCATCGCCATTGGACTCCCAAAAGACTCAACTCATCAGCACATATAATATGCTGGATATCAGGATCAGGGACTAGCACATCTACACACTTATTAAATCCAGTCATTTGTGTGTATATCCTTGTCAACATAAAAAAAAGCTGGGTTTAAATAATAACCAGCTTCATGCAAGGGCCGATGTAGCTGTCTATCCCACTTCTCATCAATAATCTCCCAAACAGGCTTCTAGCGGTTCTCATCATCATCAAAATTTTGGGTTATCTCTCTCTTGCATTTCTCTATAGCCTCATATATGTAAACCATAGAAGCCTTGTCACTATCAACCATGAGAAGGACTTTGACAAGAGGAAAAAAATACCTAAGAGCACCCTTCACACCTTGCCAAAAAGTCTTAGAAAGGATAATATCTCTCACCTTCTTTCTAACCTGATTATTGGACCACTTGCATGCTCTCCAGTCATCCGAGGTAAACATCTACCTCAACTACACTCTCCTCGAAGGTATGTTATCTACACACAAGTACCAGATCGCAAATCTCATGACCCCAATCCTCACAATCTCTTTCTTCGTTGTAAATCTATGCATCATGCTGAGGGTGAGATGGTGGCTATAAATGAAATTCATAACTGACTTTACCTTCTTCATTGCACCTGATATCTCTGTTAAACCGCCAAGAGCCTCAAGCATGAGGTTTATATAATGTGCTGCACATGGTGTCCAAAAGATTCTAGGATAAGCTATGCGCAACAAATTAGCAGCCGCAATATTAGGAGCAGCATTGTCTGTGACAACTTGTACAACAAGATGCTCTTCAACCTCCTTGATTCCCTTCTCTATAATTTGGAATATGCAATGGGCATCATGGATATAATCTGATGCATCAATAGACCTCAAAAAAAGGGTCCCTAAAAGACAATTCACAAGCAAATTCATCTGACTTGTTCTCTTCTTATCACTCCAAGCATCAGTCATAATAGAAACTCTATACTGAGCCCATGCATCCTTCTTAACTTCTATAGCATCACATCCTTCTTAACTTCTATAGCATCCTTCGTGACGCTCATCGCTTTTCTCAAAAGGTGCTGTAAAAGCTCATATGAGGTTGGGGGTTTCATCCCAGGCTAAAATTGGCCAATTGCCTCTACCAAGGCATGGAAGCTGCTTAGGTAAGCGATATTGAAAGGAATGCTCGCCTCAGAAAACCATATAGCAATAAAAAAAGCTGCTTTATCTCTCTCTTCCTTCTTCATTCTATTTTCAATAATAGTTTACTTCTTTGTTTTCTCTCCTGCAACCTCAGGGTCAGGCAGAGGACAAAAACTATCCATAATAATGCCTCTAACCCGAGGCTTCTTACTCCCAGAACCAAAAGCAATTACAACTCCCTTTCCTTTCCCCCTAATAATGGATTGTTCTACCTCTTGACATCCCTCCCCATCGTCATCACTGTCATCATCATCATCATAACTTACCCGAACCCCAGACCTAATCTCTACTATAGAAGCAAATTTCTCGTCTTTTTTCATTTTTTCACCATACTCAAATAATTGGTTATTTCCTCTTTAACAGCATCAAAAGTCTTTTTACATGGGGTAACATCCCCCCTGATACCGGCAAGATGTTTCTTAAACCAATTTATACCCCCTTTTCTATCATTCTTACAAAACTTGCATCTTATGCAATTTTTATCATTCGGATCTGGGTTGTAGCCATATTTCCAACCGGGATCACCACTCTTATTAGATCCTGAAGAAGACATCTTAAAATAACTTATACAAGCAATAAAAAAAACCACTTTGATTGCTCAATATCCAAACTTCCACCTCAAATATGCTTCTAAAGACTCAAATTCTTCTAAAAAACTCTCCAATTGATTTATAAAAAATCAAAACTTAAATCTAATATCAATTGGTGATGTTTTTATCAATTTCGCATAACTTTGAGAAAACCTTCGACCATCAAGAAATCACCAAAAAACTAGTTTTTTGGGGGGCTCTCTCTCTAAAATGGGCTCTAATGAGTTTTCGGCTTTAACTGAACCTAAAACCCACATTGTTTGCCCCTTAGTATCAAAAACATTGACACAAAATACCCCCACCAAGTTGCTTTTCCACCTCCGGGCTGGGCGGGGTGCAGTCCTTAGGCAACCCCCTAGGCGGGTTCCTGGGTTTTCCACCTTATTTTGGCTCCTAGGCCTGGGCCATGCGCCCAGGCCCCCTGGATCGTCTAGGCGGCCGCCCAAGCACTGGGCGGTCTGCTTTTTGAAACACTGCACATATCAAACAACGAATTATGAGTGGGGATAGTCCTCTTTCATTGATATGCAGTCTTCTAACAATTACGGGCTATCAGTTACATTTTTCTTATAACATTGTAAAGCAATTCATCCTTTTGTAGAAGTCACGGCTGGTTCTATTGTAAGAAACAGCAGAAACACAAATAGGAAAGCCATAACTTGGACAATTTCAATTAACGTACCTTCATAGCATGACTAAGCATTTTATATTCAGTGTACCTTAAGATCCAATTGAAATCATCATCTGACACACTATATGACAGTTGGTACTGATAGAGCTACTTATCTATGATACTCCTGGGACCACATTTACATAGTAACATCATGAATATATGCAGAGATCTCAAATTGACTAGATCTTGTCTTGGTTTAGACAGGAGGGCCAAGTTGGGAGGTCCCAACAGGGCATAGAGATGGAAGAATTTCATAGAACTACTCGCCATAATCAATCTTCCACAACCAGGGCTTCATGCAGAACAAATGAAGCAGAATTTTCTCATGCATGGATAATCGGACGAGGAAATGATCACACTCAGGTAACACCTCTTCCAATTCTTTGCAATTCTGGACCATCTCTTCCTTGCAGTTTTGACTTTGTGTTTGAAACCAGTATAGGCTCTGCTCACTGTCTATCATTCTGGAATCGAATATACCATTACAATGCCGCTATGGAAACAGACCCAAGAATTGATCCAACAATGTGGTATAGCTGAAGAGTAGATGCCCAAAGAGAAGCATTGATCCAAGAACTAGAGTGCCATCAGACCAATTTACTCCCTTCAAATTTGATAATATGTATTACAACCACCTAAGAAGTGGTCGAGCACTTTTGGAGTCAGATCAGGTGATCCATAGCAATTTCATGATTGCCGACCTTGGCGATAATACTGCTGAATGGGAAAAGAGATTTAGTGAAGCCATGGTCAATTTGACTAATATAGGTGTTAGGGCAAGGTTTCAAGGGGAAATCCGAAAAAACTGTCGAAGAAGGAATCGATCAAAGTTGTGGCACTGGTTGTGTCCCAAATCTAGAGGCCCAAGGGATTGATTATATGTCATTTGTCAATAGTTGTTTTAGAGCAGTCTGACATATGATGATCAGGCGCGTATACCTGTATGTGTCAAAAAGAGTAGCATTCAAGACAAGTGAAATATAATTGCATTTCTAAGTTTTCCCAAAGAGGGTTTCCGTGAATAGCACTGTATGGCACATTAATGAGGTATCTCTGATGATACCATGATTTCATTGAAAACAAATCATGCATTTTTGTCACTTGTACAGCTCTATGCCAAATAATAAATACAATGTTTAATAGCCTATTGCAACCATTATTCATGAATATACCATATGCAAGATTTACAAAATGCAGCATAATTTAACATGGAGCTGCTTGCACACTGTTTTCTGTGGGAGGTTTTCTCAAGAAACCAATAACTGATTCTTTGAAATCATTGAGCATGAGTTGGAAATCATGCCTCCATGACCAAGTTGGCTTCTTTAGAGCACGAATTGAATTCAGGCATACAACGAGCGTCCCACCTTCATGCAAAAGAACCTGCAAAATAAGCAAGCCACCATGATCCTGACTGCAAATAATGTGAAAATAGAGACAATAGAATTCTAAATATTTGGTTAGCAACAACGGTGCAATTACTTAAAACCATAGTTACCAGGATCTTCCGACCAAGGGGTGGATTCCTATGTGGAACATCCCTTCTGGGCTCTAGGGAAGGGACTCTCACTCTTCCCCAATTTATAAAATTCAGAATCTCGATCATTCCTATAGGGATCAAGATCCTGAGTTCCAGGAGTTTAAGATTCACTAGCATTGTAGTAAACATAGCAGTATAGTATAGTAATAGTATTATTAGTATAGCAGCATGTTATAGTATACTAGCACAATATAGCAGTATAGTCTAGGAGTGTGGTATAGTAGTATAAACAATACAGTACAGTACATATATTATATAGTTGTAAAGTAACTTGAAATATAGTATAGTAAATATAGAGTATATAGCGTAGTACTATAGTATAGCAGTACATTGGTGTATAGCAGTGTGATAAAATAGTATATACTATGCTACTATACTAGAGTGCTCTAGATTTTGAAACAATTGAGGTCAGTCCTCTACAAATTATCATATGATCCCAAATCAGTTGGAGGGAGGTCCTCCGTATATTCGGATCGAGATCCTTGGATTTCAAAGTGTATGGCCGGCAATCTCTACAATAGGAAGTTTCCTGCTTGTCACAATCAGGCGGTCCAGATCCCGATCCCAGGTCTAATTCAATCCTGATCCTTCTATCCCTGGTTTACACAAGTGAACATATGTATGAGAGAGAGAGAGAGAGAGAGAGAGAGAAAGAAAGAGAGAGAGTTTTAGTCTACCAATCAGCCAAAATAGGCTTCGGCATTATAACCATCATTGTGCTAGTCTTGGGCAAATATCGCAAGAAGTTAGCCATTGTATTATTCAACTTCGCCAACTACCACTGAACCAGAAAAACTGTATTTGGTAGTCATGCAACATTTCAAGCTCTCATGCTATTTGCAGATCCACAAAAACTGCACACTGCAAGGTCCAATTTGCCTCATTCTGGCACGTCTTGCCCATGCTTGTATGCAATTAATAACCGGCACTGTGCATGCTTGTATGTACAGGCCAAAAGGTCTGCTTGTTAATTGTGTTTAATAAAAGTACATGATCTCCGGCAGCCCACAAGAGAACTGCAAGCCCCAATATCCACAATAGATTCACTATTATGGGGCATCATGCAAAGCAAATGGCTAATAGGATTTATCTTTAGCTAAGAATTTGTGTATACAATGCCAATAGAGTAGATAGAAGTCATTGTGAGGGAGAATTGATAGTATGAGACTTGAGAAGGAAAATATATTTGGTATTCTCTCAAAAAAAAAAAAACGGAAAATATATTGATTAAGGAAGATATTGCCAAAGAGAAAATCAATCACTGTTTTAGCAGTACTGTAAACAAAGTTGCAATACATTTTAAAATTTGAAATATCTGATTTCGTCTGTCATCCCTAAAATTTGAAATATCTAAGACAACATTATATGGTTCTTACCTGAGTAGACAACATTGTAGTAAACATAGCAGTATAGTATAGCAAGAATGGTTCTTACCTGAGTAAACAAGAATGGGTTCAGAAGATCTCCCCTTCTACCCATGCCCCAACACTAATGTTTAAAAGGACAAATAGCAAACAACAAAGAAGACTCAGTTAGCTTCATATTCCTTTATTTATTATGGATTGGCAGGACATGCTGGCCTTAATTATCTTAAACTATTCTCTACCTGCAAAAGTCAGGGCATTGAAGAATGTCTAAGCAACGATTCCCACAAATTTGAAAGTATTGCTATATGTTCCTCTGCATTTCAAAGTTTTAAGTCACTAGCACATTACAGCATACAGTTGGTCGGATTTCACGTGTCAATATGGACAAGGAACAAGAAGCTTATCCCGCTCCTGATGTTTTCCCATGAAGTCCAAGTTTATCATTTATGAAGCAATAGGCATATAATAAATTAATCCAAGCATTTTGAGCTACATATCAAAGTACATCTCAATCACAAAACAAATAATGAAATTGGACACAAATGTTAGACTAACCCTTAAAATAAGAACAAAAAAAAAACAAATAAATCAATTATTGTTGTGGGAACAAGCAATAAGCTAATCCAGCAGATGTTTAATAAATTTCTTCAGTAATATCTTATATTTCTAGGGACAGAAACCACAAAATGAAGAGCATTTAGTATAGAAACTAAGAGTTAGCGTTTTGGCATACCGTTAACCACAACGGCAGAAAGCCCATTACAGATGGTAGAGATGCCAAGATAATGCACGATAGAGCAAGGGCCACACTTTGCTTGACCTAAAAGTACAAATCACATCAAAATGTAAATATACGATTATGCTGATAATTTTGATCAAGGTTTTAAAAATCACCAATTTGGATCGGAATCGCTTGATCCGGAATTGTTCCCAATGAGCAAGCCGGTTCACTTTAGGAACCGGATGATTTTTTAGTGAACCTGATATGTGAACTGGTTCCCATGTTTTTTCAAATTTATATGGGCAATTTAAAAATTTTCAAAAAGGAAGCAGCTGCCGACCCCATATTTTATATTTTTTGAATCTCGTGAACCAAGAACTCACAAGCTCCACCTTGTAGCTCCCCCCAAATGGCATGCATAAGCCTGCCATGCCTAGAACACTTGGCAATGTCGATGCTTATTATGAGCCATATTTCTTTTATAGAGGCGTTTGGCTCCTTCAAGCCCCGATGCAAAACAATTTTCTTTCTCCTTATCTCTCTACCAGCTAAATAACCATATTGAGTCTGTTATTAATGGCCTTACCCCGTAGGAACTTTTTGTTATCTTTTTATTTATGGGCTGTTAACCCTTATATTTTCATACAAAACTTGCATTGATTTAGTGAAAAAAAAAAAAAATTCTAGAACCACATGAAGATCTTATAAGTATAATCGTATATGATTTTTTGTAAAAAGCCCAAAACCTAATTGTTCGATGCATAATCTGAAAAGGAATACCTTAATGCTCTTATCTCCTAATGCTTCTTTAAATATTTTCGCTTTGTGCACTTATTTTTTACTCGTTGGGAACACATTAATGATAGATTGTTTTTACTTGTTTGATTTTTGTCGAGAATACCTTCATGTTGGATTCTTTTTATTAATCTTATTTTTGTTTATTAACTTTCAATTTTTTTGTGGGTGGGGTTTATTAACTGGAACAATCGCTACTAAATTCAAAATGTTACAAGAATGTTCTCTTTATTTATTTGGATTGATTCAAATGGCACGAGAAATAATTTCAGTATTGAATTGGGTTTTTCTTGGCACATGTTTCTTTATCCATTTGGATTACTGAGATGGGAAAGATAAATTGCTGACTGCGAAATTGATTTAATGGACAACAAGCACTCAGACATGAGATGAGTCCTCATCATTTATGTATTGTTGATAAAAAATAAAAACTAAAAAAACCCTAATTCAATCGAACCATTTTTTGTAGACATACAAAAAATAATATTTTAACGATTTTAAGTTATTTTTTGAAATTTTTTAAGGCCTGATCTAGCTGATTCTCCAATCTGGACCACCAATCTACCGATCTAACCCAGTTTTTTGGATGGATAATCTGGGTCGCCAATCCATTTTTTAAAAACTTGATTATGATTATTGTTTAGAGCTAATAGGACAGTACCAATGAAGTTGTCTGGCGGGCTTTTGCAATAACAAATGGCACACCAGATATATTGTCCTGCAACAAGAGCACGTCCGCAACAGCTATGGCAGTAGCACTAGCACGTTGTGCAAGAACAATTCCCACAGTAGCAGCAGCGAGAGCAGGTGCATCATTAATACCATCACCCACCATTATCAAGCCCCCACCTGTTTCAAGGACTTTCAACTCGGATATTTCAAATCATGGCAAGTTAAAACTATGAATGAAAAACCAAAATGATAACTTGTCCCATCAATAAATCCAATAATAAATACTAAGAGTTGCACTCGATGAATATCCACATGAGAAACAAACTTTAACATTATCATCATGCTCATTTCAAAAGATCCGAATTTCTTTATCTCAATCATAATGCATTACAATTACGAAAATAAATGAAAACACGATGGGTTTAAAAGCGCATGTAACTGGGAGGTAGGAGAAGTAACAACAAGAAAATGTAGAGAATAAAAGCTTGGTTAGCATAACATTTATTACGGTTGCATGAGTTGACCTTATCTCAATGATGGATCAATATATCCAAGTGACACTATATGGATAAAAAACTCATGCATGACCTATTAACAATAAAATTACATCCTAAGATGATAGAATTACATTTGACTTTTTATTCATGTGCCATATGATAGAAAAGGGGGCTCCCATGGATAAAAGTGAAAGATTAGTGGCAGAAAAATTAGAAATATTAGATCAAGGATGCATGTTTTTTCTTATAAAAATGAAAAACAAGCACATATTCACCACCCATTAGACTGCAAAGAAACATGCATGGGCACTTATAATATATACAAGCAACTATCATGCCCCTTCATCCACCATCTTTCATTGAGGACAGAAGAAATGAAAGAAATAATTCACACCTTCACTCAAAGTACACTGGCATTTGTCAAGCATAGATGCAGGTTATCCCTAACATCCATACTCAAACATGGTCAATGGGTTTGGATTTTTCTTAGTAAACTTTCAGATATACATGTATAAAAATCACAAATATACACCTAAATGGGGCACCTCCTAACATCATGTAGATGGATGATAGCATCATAAGATTGGATGAAAGCTTAGGGGCAAAAATATGGACCTTCTTAGAAAAATTTCTACAAATGCCTTTTTAACAAAACACGTCCCAACATACAAAAATTCTAATTCGACATCAGCAATTGATACCTTTGCTTCAATTATTAAGCTAACTATGCACAGTTCTACAATAACCAAAAAATTCCAGGAAAATGGATATCCCCAAAAGATATTTTCAGTTCAAGCCCCTTTGTTGCAATACAGGCACTAATCCTTGAGTGAGCTGCAGAATCAACCTCTGAGTATTAAGAACAAGAGCTATAGAGGTGGAAAAAAAGAAAAACAACAACATCATGCTGCAATAGTAAATGCATTCTTTCAAGATAAAACAGAAAGAGAAGTGTTAATGACACTAGTAACATATACAGAAATATTGACATGCAAATGCCCGCCTCCATCTAAAAACTAGCGCCACTAAATGTGAACTACAAGCCTAAAGTTAATTTCAGAAGCAAAATATTAATTCCACATGCAGGTATTTAGTGACGACTTCCAAAGAAAATAACCAGCTTTCAAGTGAGAATCTAGCTTTCCAGAAGATGAATCTAAAAGTAGAGACAAATAGAAATCCTTCCTACCCCTTTCCCTAGAGATTGTTTTCACTTGATTAAGCTTGTCCTCTGGCTTCAAATCACAGAAGACTTCATTAATTCCCACAGCTTTTGCAACTCTCCATGCACTGGAAGCATGATCACCAGTTAACATCACCAAGCGAAGTCGAGCTTGGTTGCTTAATGCGGCTACAACATCTACAACACCTGGTCGGGGCTTATCTTCAAAATGGAAGAGTGTAACCTATGTCAAAAAAAAAAAAAGGAATTACGCAGTAGTATTATTTAAGGAAGCCATATGTATATAATGCTCAATTCATTGATAGCAGATTTACACGTGCCAACCATCATCATCATCATCATCATCAGAGCTTTTTCCCAACTATTTGGGGTCAGCTATACGAATCCTGGTCCGCCATTCTGCTCTAACAAGGGCCATATGAAAGTAGATGATGTGAACTAGCATGGCTTATGTAGTTTAAAATTTTTCTTTTCGCCATACCGGCTAGAACACTTACATATGTCCAAATATTACAATTAAAACTCAAATAAATGAAATGAAAACAAAATACGGATTCTTACTTGCTGGCACTTTCAAAAACTCTTTATTACATAATAAAAAATTACATCAATTGAGAGTGGGAACAAGACAACACAAAAAAGCATAAAACAAAACAATGTGCCCAAACATTAATGGACTTTGCACACCCCACAGCGGGTCTCCTCCATCGATGGCACACAGGATCTAGGTCTTTCTTGAATCTTTGCAAATGGGAAGTAATGTCAAACCCTTACTTAGTACTCGAGAGCACGCACACAAGATGGGGTCTCTCTTCTTCTCACACTATGTGGAGTGTTCTCCCTTCTATGTTTCATAAACCCTGGGGGTGTGCCCCTTCTTTTCTTAGAGACTTTGTGTGAGGGAGAGAGAGAGAGGGTGGCATGCCACTTATGAGGGAGAGATCGAGACAGAGAGCTCAAGGCTTTTTTGGGTGTGTCTTAGATGACCCACCTTTAGAGATACTATATAAAAGTGAGGCTAGGGTTAGGGGTTTTTAGGGTTTAGCCATCCTTATAAGATTCCATCTTGACCCTTGATCAAAGGTGACCTGTGGGATGAGATATCTTAGCCATGCAATCTATATATCAACCATCATGATCTAATGAAAGGTGCTAGAACTTTTTCCCTCAGCTTCTTTAACCTAATTTCATCAAATATTTAGTGTAGAAAAAGTATGTTATTTATTTCATGTTATTGTCAATCAATCTCTTACTCGTTCCTTTTTGAAAATCCATTAGCCTCTTTTACAAAACTTCCATTTCTCTTTCAAAACAAATTGCATGGCTTATCACACAAGCCACAGCATACATCCAAGGGGCCTAAAAAGGTGGGTCGTAACATTTTATGGGCCCCATTATTATTTTTAACAAAAAGAAAATGATTTTAAATATTTTATTTTCTTTTGAATATTTAAATACCTAAAAATTTAGTTTTAGCTTATTTTAAAATTAATTTTGATGAAATAAAATATCCACACTTCTAAAAATTTATTTTTAAAATTTTTTAAAATTTTTTAAAATCATTTAAAACAAAATTAATTATTTCTAAATTAATTTGATGGAAATCAGATCCAATTTCGTTAAGAAAAATGCAAAAATACTGAGGCACTCCATCTCTACTAGTGACTATGTCCCACACTCACGTTCTCAAACTGAGCCAATAGTTCCCATAGTCCATCACAGGGGTTCATGATTGAACTACTATAGTCAGCCTATAGGTGATGAGAACACGATCCTTGTCTATGGACTACAGGCTCCCTCTAAGGATAAGCCTAGGACACAGATACTTGTGCACACTCATTGCAAATGGTGTATGAGGCTATCTCTCGCACATATACATGCAATACCTTCAATGGCATCTACTTTCCAATACAGCTATAATATGTACATGTCATGTGATGGTCATGATGAAGATTTGGCCCTTCTCCTTTCATGCCTACCAATCACACACAAGGGTCACAAAGTCCCTTAGCTAACTATCTTGGGCATCTCTCCGACCTCATCAAAGGGTAACCCTGCAAACCCTTCTCGGTTGTGTTATATGCCCAAGTATCATAGGGTTTTAGAACTCAATTCGGACTAGCTCGTCAAGCCTGGTTTGAGTCTTGCAATCAATATTGCCAACTTCAGTCCCTCTGGACCATACTGACACTAGAGTTCATTATTTCACTATTATGAAATTTCAATACATGCTCTCATAAGGCCTTTAGATGGCCATAAAAACCCAATACCATACCCTCAGTAAAGCCACAAGTCCCCATATATTTTCTCATTGCTTCCAACCATGTCCTTTTGCGCCTACCCCTTGCCCTTTCTTAGTCTTCCACTTGAATCAATGCACACCTCGTAACAGGTGTTGTACTAGGTTTGTGCAGCATATGGCCAGCCCACCTAAGTCTACTTTCTCTCATCTTATTGCTTATTGAAGCCACACCTAAGTTCTCCATAATATTCATTTCGAATTCTATCTTTTCTTGTCTTGCCACTCATCTGTCTCAACATCCTCATTTCAGCTACACTCATCCAATGGATATGTTGTTTCTTGACCGCCTAACATTCCGCCCCATAAAGCAAAGCTGGTCGCATAGTTGTCTTATAGAACTTCCCCTTCAGCTTAATTTGTATGCGGCGGTCACGTAAAACTCCGATTGCATATCTCCACTTCGCCTACCCAACTCTAATTCTACATGCAACATATTCCTCAATCTCTCCATTTTTTTGGATTATTGACCCAAGATATCAAAAGTGCGCCCTTTTTGGTCTTTCTTAGCTCTCAATCTTAACTCCTTCCTCGTCTCTACTCTTATTATTAGTAAACTTACATTCCATATAATCCTAGTCCGAATAATTTTAAAACCTTTAGATTATAGAGAATCCCTCCAAAGTTCTAACTTCATGTTGGCTTCAGGTCTCATCAATCAAAACTATGTCATCCACGAACAACATACACCATGGTACCTCAACCTGTAATATGTGAAATAAGTAAAAGCGGAAGATACAAGGAAAGAACCATGAAAAACTCTCAAGAGCTTATTATGCACAAATATTGCCACAACACCTGAAATGCTACACAATCATTGCTCTCAATGTGGGGGGATATCTCCCATCTCTCATAGATGAATTTTTCATCATCATTCTTTGGGACTGGTATATAAGTGTCCAAGCTGCAATTTTGAATTTCCCTTCTCACTTTTATCTCATCGACATCATAATATTTTCTCGTCATTTTTTAGTAATTGATCATCTGTCTCTCACTCCCTCTCTCTCTCTCTCTCTCTCTCTCTCTCAACAATTGAGGATATTTTGGTTTGGTGTCTAGCCTCTTACAAGGGCAGATTGGAAAGAAACCCCTCTCACATCTTCATCCTAGATGTATTGGGAAAGTAGAGAGAGATAATGATCTTTTTGTTCTCTCTCCTATTTTGGCTAACTATCAAAGTGGGAAATGGGTTTCTGACGAACATTCATAGGTACCATCCACGGGTTAATGTTCATATGGGTAAATTTGTCATTACGAATCGTGTGTTTAAGTTAGGACTTTTTTGCCATTTTGTTGACATTTAATGTCTTTGTACACTAAATTATAATATATGAGAGATGTATGGGACCTTGAGGCGGTCATTCCACGTGATTTCAAAAATAAAAGAGAGAAAAGCATAGGCTTTGGCATGAAGATGAAAACAAGGTTTCTCCAAGTTACTGCTTGTGTTTGGCCTACATTGTTGCTGCTTTTTTTATTTTCTCAAATTTCCACACACTGGTTTCTTATGAAGAGATGTTACATCTCTCTCTTAAATCTGAGTCTCTAGCAAAATCCGGCAAACTTTCACCCATATTTCACCACAAAATCTCACTATCACCCAATTCCATACGTATTCCGGCAGTTCCCTTCTCTAAACGTCCATATGAGCCTCCACATCTCTTGAAATTCTATTCTCTTTCTCATTCTGATCATTTCATGCTCTTCTTGTTCACCGACATCCAGCCCATCCACTTCCCCTAAACCCTTTCCAAATCTGCTGGCAACTCACCCCCTGTTTTCCAGAAGCACCAAACTTCTCCGGCATCCCCCCCAACAAACTCTGGAAGTGCCAAAAATTCTACAGTAAGTCCATCATCAGTTTCTGGCAATCCAAAGACATCTCCAACAAGTCAGTGATCGATTTATGACAGCCCTAAGAGTTCTCCAGAGGGTGCTCCATCAGTTTCTAGCAGCCCATAAGTCCCACATCAACTATTGAGAAGAGGGTTAGAGCCAAAGAGATCTATAAAAATGTCACTGAATGGGGAATTTGGGTTGTTTTTGTTTCTGATTTTAACTCCTGCAGGCAAAGTTCAAGGTCTGTAAGCTATAATCTTTATGTGGTTATTAAGTTAAGAAACAGTCGAAGACAAAAAAAATGTCTATTGTGTCATGCCCTTGTATCAACATGAGATGTGTGGGATGAAGAAGATTTCTAATGGGGATTTGAATATTCTACTCTGCTGGGGTTTTGAAGCTATGCAAGTGCCCCAGGATTTCTCATATTGGAGAACCAGTCTGAGACTTCACTTCTAGGAAAGGACCAAATGTTCCCACCAATGGCTCTAAGATCAGACTGACATGAGCCCTTATGCCTTCACTCGCTGATCAAATGTGAACAGCTTTACAATCTCATATTTGCTCATGGTGCATCAATAAATGTGTTTCCAATTTTCTGTGGAGCCTTCAGTAAAAAATCTTTTCTTTTTTCTGTGCCATCATTTAGAAGTTCTTTTAGTTTTTAATGAATTAATTTAGCAGTCCACCTCCTGCCCATCACCCTTCATTCGATTAATCTTGGTGTGGGACTGGACTAGTCAATCAGAATTATCTTGCTCCTCCAATAAAGTTTGATTCAAAACCTGCAGAATTTCGCTGACTCTGGCTGATTAAGATCGATTATTTCACTACTGTTGGCGCAACTCCTTCAACACAGACCATCTATGGCAATCATTCACTCTGAAGCCCAACAACCAGGGAAGCTCCACAAAAGTCGTATTGTTTAGGTCACATCTGGATGTGGCCCCAAAAAAGTATAGGTGCCATTGAGGCAACATTTTAGGTGATGGCCAGAATGTGGAGTGGCTCCTTTGAATGTCACTTTAGACCCCCATTTACGTGTTCATAAACTCAAAAATACTGCCCATTTATGCGAGATAAAA